TCACATGGCTTTGCCTCTGTGCGTGGCGCCCTGGGGTCTGTCTCCCTTCTTTTTAGGAGAGTCTCTAAGTCTTATTAGGACCTCATTTAACTTCAATCACCTCCTTAAAAGTCCTGTCTCCGAATACAGTCACATTGGGGGTTAAGGGTTCAACACGTGAATTGGGGAGCGCCGTGACTCAGTCTGTAATAGGTACAATTAAGTCAAGGCCTCCGTTTCTTCAACCTACTTTGTTACCTGTACAGGAAGCCGAAAGCCAGCCCCATTCGCAGGTGGAGAAGGACCTGAGCTGTATGTCTACGGTTTGACTAGCCTTCCGGATCTGTGTCCCCTGCGTGCATTCTGTGTAAACAGCCAACGGACGGCTTCTTGGCCGTGACGCTCAAAGACTCCGCCTCAGTCAGTGTTGAAAACAGTCAGGCCTAAGGAAGGGGGTGTGATTCCACGAAGGGAAGAGAGCACTCAAGGAGCACGAGTCTCTTAGAGCTGGAGATTCTGCAACGCAGGATGGAAAATGGGAAGGCTCGCCCTCTCCAATCTCAAAGCAGCTGGGACTCAGGCCTTGTTTTCTCAGAATCTGTTTGGGAAGGTGGTGAGGATAATGATAGCAACCGGCCCTTCCGTTCCCAATGTGGCTACCAAGAGTGAGTGAGACAGTGATGAATTACCCAAGATGAGGTTAGAATAATTTAATAAAAAGAGGTGGAAATGGGGTCTTTAATTCCTAACCTTTTGAGCTGTGGCTTAAATCCATTAATAGAACATGGATTAAGAAGTCCGAAGTAAGATTAGTCCGCATCACCCACCAGTGAATCACTCTGGAGCTCGGGTCAGAATTAACATCGGAAAATTCTTTAAAACTTCACGGTTGAGCTTTTTTTTTCTTTTTTCCCCTGGCTTGACTTCTTTTGTAGTCTTGGCCTTTTTAGTCAGGGAGATAGAAAATGTTTGGCATCCATTCAAAGCTCGTTCAAACCACGGGGTAGAACTATAAAGGAGGCCTTTGGGGAGATGAAGGGTCAGTCTGAATAGTTTATATCATAGCTTTCAGTTAAAAAAAAAAAAAAGAAAAAATTCTTTTACAGCATCAGTATGGAGAATTATGTCACCATATATAAGTAGATTCAGCAGGACTGACAAATCCACATGTGTTCCCTTAAGCAGTAGTTTTCAAATATTTGATGACCTTAGGACTCTGGGCCCAAGAGAAATTTTACACTGAAGTAAAATGGAACAAAACCAATTCAAAGAAAGTTATTTTGCTCACATAAAGATGTGGGGGCTCAGAGACTTTAGTGTTTCCGTTTCACTCTTTTGGGTAGCCCTTAATGAGAACAAATGCCAAGATCGTCCAAGAAGATAGATTGAACACTTTTTCTCTTGGAGATTCTTATTCTACGGTGAATTTCTCCCTGTGAACCACAGAACGTGTGTGAACGACTGCCGATCATTAAATAGTCACACCTCTCTCCCTGAGTTTTGAAAAATATTTTGAAAGCGATGTGGTCTTCCAACATAAATGGAGAGATTAAAGGAGGTGACTTTTTCCCACAGCAGGAACGTTTAAAACATGGACTGTTTAAAACAAACTGCTAAAAAAACAAAAGGTGAATTTTACCAACCGAGAGTGTATTTTCTTAAATCATCAAATCAGACACCCGTTGAAGATGGAGGAGACCCTGTATACCGAAATCAAAGGGGATAATTACATAAAGGTGCTTTGTAACCTATAAAACATTTTGCAAAAGAAAGTGTTGATGGTGATGATGTTTACCTCCTTTCCTTTAACTGGAGCTTTCATATTTGTTTCTAAACCCCTTCACTGGAGCTCAGGAAAGGCAAAATATCTTGCCCAGTGTCAAGCAGCTAGACACAGATAACTTTAGGACGTAGACTGTTGCTTGAGGGCATTTTGATCAAGTCATAAAAGCCTAGTAATCAGAGGCCAGTCAGAAAGTACAGTACTTTCTCTTGTACAAAAATGCATGTCGGGGCGCCTGGGTGGCTCAGTCGGTTAAGTGTCTGCCTTTGACTCAGGTCATGATCTCAGGGTTCTGGGATTGAGCCTTGATCTCAGGCTGCTTGCTCAGTGGGGAGTCTGTTCCCTCTGCCTCTCCCGCTCCTCCAGCTTATGCTTTCTCCCTCTCTCTCTCAAATAAATAAGTAAAATCTTTAAGAAAAAACAAAACAGCATGTCATCTATACCTGAGATGGAGCCCAACTTGTTGGCACACAAACAAGTCTATCATTCTGGACCTGTAAGTTTAAAACATGTTCATGGAGGGAATGAAGGCTTAGTTACCCTAAGCCCAAATGGGGGAGCAGAGGGGCACCTTCTCTTTATAGCTCTTCAGTGATTCGTTTGGAAAATAATCGAGTGGACTCTCGTCTTACGTAGTTAGTGGTGAGTTTCTAAAATCAATACAAAAAAAGTGAAAATAAAAATAAAACCAGTGTAGATGCTGGCTCAGTTGGTGGAGCATGCGACTCTTGATCTCAGGGTCATGAGTTCAAGCTCCACATTGGGCGTGGAGGTACTTTAAAAAAATCCTGAAAAAAAATAAAGTCCGTATAAATGGCAAAGATCCAACAAAATCAAAATGATCTCTGAGAATCCTTTGGAGTCTTAGAAACTCAAAGACCTATCATCTGTTACTTTTGTCTCTGGAAATTTGGCTGAGATGTTCCTTTTCCTGTGATGTTGGAAGCCAAGGTCTCTTTTGAACCAAGCAAGGTGGCCTATGCATGTTCTGTGCTTTGTTCTGTGTGACCTTGATTGGCTGAATATGTGGAGGGGATTGCACACGATCTGATTCCACTGTACAGATTTCCTGCTTTAGCCGTGGATTGACGGTGATAGAACTGTCTAGTAACTTAAGTAAATTTGAAATCAGGACATAACAAATATGCAGTGATGTTTAAGGAAAAAAGTATTCTTTGGCAGTGTTTCTAACCTGTGAAGTGAAATTATGGAGAATCACCGTGACTGCTCCCCTCCCCCGCAACAAACCGGCCATTAGTACCCTCCTCTGAGCTAAGATCTGGATTTAGAAGAAGACTGAGAATGGATATGGCCACCAGTGATGGCCACCAACAGTTCCTCCCATCTGCATTCCTACATTCCACTTCTCCCATCGAGAGGCAGAATCGAATTATTTCCTCCCTCTTGGAGCTGAGCTGGCCTGTGACTTGCTGTGACCAGTAGAATGAGGCAGAAGCAATGCTGTGTTGGTTCTAGACTTAGCCACGTGGAGGCCTGATGGCTTTCGCTTTTGCTCCCCTGGAGCCCTGAGCCCACCATATGTGGAGGCCGACCACCCCGCTGGAGAGAGAGAGGTCTGCGAGCCCCCAGCTCTTCAGCCTCCCAACTCAGGAGTCAAGATGTACGAGGGAAGCCATCTTGGCCATTCTCGCCCCAGCTGAGCTCCGGGATGAATAAAGCTCAGTGACTATGACTGACATCCCATGGAACAGAAGAACCACGTAGTCGAGCCCTTCCTACAATATAGAAACATGAGCAAATGAATGCTTTGAATTATTGTAAGCATTATGTTTTGAGTGCTTTGTTAAACAGCAGTAGATCATTGAGACAGTTGGCCAGGAGATTTCTAATAGATTGTGTTTCATAGACTCTTGCCGGCTCTTCTTCCTTCTTCCAGATCAACTCTTCTGCTTTTCTAGCCTCGGATGCCACCCAAACTTTGGTGAAGAAACGTAAAACAAACAAACAAAATAAAACAGGAGGGCCTTGCCCCGGGGAAAATCCTGTAGAAGCTTCCCTTCTGCTCAAACATGATGGAGCCGGAGGATGTGGTTGCTGTGTCTTTTTTTTTAAAGATTTTATTTATTTGACAGACAGCAGGAGAGGGAACACAAGCAGGGGGAGTGGGAGAGGGAGAAGCAGGCTTCCAGCCAAGCAGGGAGCCCAGTGCAGGGCTCGATCCCAGAACCCTGGGACCATGACCTGAACCGAAGGCAGACACTTAATGACTGAGCCACCCAGGCGCCCCTTGGCTGCCGTGTCTTGATGAGGCTCTCAGCTTTGTAGGTCACCAGTGCTGGGCATGGTTTCATAAATTTCCCTTTCCATATTATTTTACTGGTGTTTGGTTTTCAATTCCTATTGCAGAGGGAGACAGGGACAGGTGGTACACAATTACTTTCCAAAGGATTATTAAAATCCTCGGGGAGAAGGAGGCAGTGATAAGGATCAGAAATGGGAAATCAGACACAGGGAAAGGAAGGGTAAATGAATTTCTAGGAAAATAAAGGGCTACCATGAAAATATCAAGAAACAACCTCTCAGTGGCTTGCAAAATGGTGAATCCACCTGTCCTGGGCTACCTAGTGGTCAATCCTGATAGCTGGGAGTAAGTCAGTCATAGAGCCGTGTCAGCAAATGATAAAATGCATTTTTTTCTGGGAAAAAAAACAGTGGAATCCCCATCTGTAAACACAAAGGATGGTTTACTCATGCAGGACCACAGTGAGCTTAATTCCATGAAACACAGTTGCTAGATGTCTTCTGTTGGCTAGGAAAACACTATAAAATTGATGTGTCACTTAAAATACACAAATATAGCACTTACAGGCCAAATAGATATTTCTTGATAGAAAACACCTTTTAAGAGCTTGGCAGAGCAAAGCAATCTGCCCATGAATGTTTATTGTATTAGTGGAAAACTCAATCAAATCCAGCCACGTTGTCACCCAAGGAAGCACCAAAGCCCAGATTTTAACCTTACTGAAATATTGATGGCATAAAGGGGAGGCTGATGAGATAAATAATTCTTACGACTTTCAGTGCCTTGGAATATCCTACCTGTGCGGTAGAGGAAAATGCTCTCCCCTGACCCCCAACTCCTCCCTCGAATCTCTATCTGGGGCAAAAGCCCTACCCTCTGTTGACAAGTGTCTGGTGGAAATTTTATAAGATTTTTTTTTTTTTTTTAGCGAGGCACCAGTTGTCTTTAATACTTGAAAGAAAATTGAAGCGAAGGATCCAGTTACTCCTCTGAAAAATGAACGTTCTCCCCCCAAGCTTTGGCCACTGCTGGTATGCTTGTTTTAAAACTGAATTATAGGCGTAATACATTTTCCAGAGACACGGGCATTAATTTTTCTCGAGCCCTTCAAGATCGGGAGGACAGAACAGGAGGGAGCAGAGAGAAAATAAGATAATCAGAGTTTCACATTGATTTACTCATCTGTGTGCAAAGGAACAGGGACATGAGGGAGACTATTCCAGAGGCCTAAAGGGGGGGGGATTGGATTGCGGGGAGAAAGCAGAGCGAAGTGTAACAGGACGGCCTGCCAAACAGCAAGTCCCCTTGTTGTTCTTAGATGATATAAGATTACTATATTTCTCTAGCTGCTTTATAAAAATCCATATGCATAAAATATGCCCCGTGATGCCGAAGTAGTGAGTGAAGGCCAGGCTGTGGATCCAGGAAATGACTATGTTCCTAACCTGCCTGTCCGTGGGCTCATTCCTTTAATAAAGATCAAGTGGGTCTGTGCAGAGCCGAGCGGAGTCTATGATTCCAGCATGTTCCAGGCCGGTCGTGCAAGAGAGGTTGACTCCCAGCCCGCCCGGGGCAGTTGATGCCACACAGAAGTCTGTGTGTGTGACCCGTCTCACAGACCTAATGTCAAATCACTTAGCAGAGGTGGGAGAAGCCCTTAAACTAGGAATCTGTGGCGTCCTCCCTCCCCTTAGTTCCATGCTGGACCAGGTTTATAATTTGCGAGGCTCGGTGCACAATGAAAGTGCAGGGCTCCGGGGTAAAAAACTGAATTTTTTTTTTTTTTTTTGGCTGGGACAGCAAAGCATAAAACAAAGAGAGGAGCTCTTCTCAGCGTGGAGCCTGGGAGATGGCCTTGGAATCCCGCCCTGAAAGCTCATCCTGGCTCCACGACTTTGTGATAAGAATCTTCTCATCTGGAGTTGTCAGTTTCCATGTGTTAAAATAAACCCATGGTGGCGGGGGTGGGAGGCGTGGTGAAACCTTGGTGAAGTCAGTTAGCAATTTTACTAAGTTGGATCCGCTCTCTTTTATGGAATTCAGGTGTTCATTCCAAAGAACCTCTCCCCATCTTGTTCTTTAAACCGTGAATCTGTGCAGAGATGTACCTATGGCACCCTCTTGGGTACCCAGGAGGTGGGAAACAGAAAGCTTGTGGCCATTATTGTCTCGTAGACAAAGAAGAACTTAGGTTAAAAAAAAAAAAGAGCACTGGGGCACCTGGGTGGCTCAGTTGGTTAAGCGTCTGCCTTCAGCTCAGGTCATGATGCTGGGGTTCTGGGATCGAGCCCCGTGTTGGGCTCCCTGCTCAGCGGGGAGTCTGCTTCTCCTCCTGCTTGTGCTCTCTCTCTCTGCCAAATAAATAAATAAAACCTTTTAAAAAAACAAACATTTTGTCATATCCGTAAGATAAAATCAAGTCCATTCAGTTGCCTTGAAACTTACTTTTTGCCTTTCTTCTAAGACAACTTAAGCCTCTTTTCGTCCCCCATACAGAAATTAAGAAAAAAAAAATAGCGTAAGCTCATCTGTCTTAGAACTGACTTTGCAGGCAATGTTGGCAGGTTTATCTATTTGAAAAGAGACCTTGAAACCCTAGTGCCTTCTTTAAAGCCTGGGTTCTCAAGCTGACCCACAGGGAGATGACAGATGGGATTAGGATGAAGTATAACTTTTTTCTTGCTCTAACCATGAAAGGATCACTAAACCTGAGCATACAGATTTGGCTTGTGAGTTCTGAGAAACATCACTCCGTGTCCGGCAGCTGGAAACTGAGTAACTCTGTGGTTCTCCAGGTCACTGGGGGAAGGTTCTGGAGTCCCCAGAAAAACATGCCAAGTCTTCCGTTTCTGGTCTTGAAGAGAGAACCTAATACAGTTCTGTAGATCTGCTTTTTTTCCCCCCTTTTCTTGCCCCAGATAATAGATAGTGGGTCGGTAAACCCACTCATTAGCATAAGGAAAGCAATTTGACATTAACTTGCTATTTTGTAGGAATGGATGTGTTTCTGATCTATAGATGTTTTGCTATTTTTGCAAGAGGGGAACACCAGATTTGGAAGAACAGAAGCCCTGCAATACATTTTGTCTACTTTTATACATTTTTAATTTTTTTTCTATTCATGTCTAATAAATACAGTTGACCTTTGTTACCCACAGGTTTGTCTGTGAATTCGTCTGCTTGCTAAAATTGATTTGCAACCCCCAAATTAATACTTGCTGTGCTTTCCCGGTCATTTTTGGACACGCCCAGAGCAACAAGAAATTTGAGTCACCCTGCATGCGCATTCCCAGCTGAGGTCAAACAAAGCGACTTTTTGCCTTCCTGTTTCAGCTCTCATATTGTAAATAATCCTTTTTGCCATCTTATGGAGTGCTGTGTTTTTCACATTCTTGTGGGGTTTTTTGTTGGTGGTGATTTCACTGTTTAAAGCGCCCCCCCTCCCCGGAGTGCTGAAGAACTACCTATTGTTTCTAAGTAAAGGACGGCTGTGATGTGTTCTATGGAGCAAATCCGTGTGTCAGAGAACTTTGTTCAGCATGAATTACAGTGCAGTTGGCTGTGAGCTCAGTGTTAATGTGTCAATAATACATATTAAATAAGGGGGCTCTAAACAGAAACACATAAAACGAGATTTTGTTTTAATTGGTTGGCAAAAGTATGACCAGAGGCTCGTGGGAACCTAACCCTACATTTCCCCTGGGATCAGCAGTCTAATATTCACTAATTCAGCACTCCCAGGGACTTTATAGAACATAACGACCTCGGATAATGAGAATAGACTATATGGGTTGAGAGCCCACCTTGGTCAGGAATCCTGAAGTGCAACAGAATGTATCCTAGTCTCATGGAATGTGTTTAGTGACCGTAGTTGGGCAATAAACCATCTGTAGGAACAAAGACTCAAGTTGGCCCAGCTCCTAAGTGGAACAACCAGGATTTGGACCCGATTCGATTCATTGACTCCCCGAATTCATTCTCCCACGTGCTTCTATTTAGATAGTCAAGGAGAAGATAACTCACGTGCGGTCAGTCTTGGACCCAGAAAGGGAAGGTACCAAAATAGATATTTCTGGTTGGTTTTCTCAACACCACCAAGTTCATCCTAATTTCTCCCTCTGGCTTGCTTTGAGGTAGCTGTAAAAATGTTCTCAGAGAAGCTTTTCTAGAATTTTCAGTCCTTAATATAAGTCCTTTCTCTTCTGATTTGTTGCAGTAAATATAAGACAAGAATTTTAAACAAGAAAAGAACTTTATACTCTAGGATACTCTGTCACAAAATAGCATTTAATGGGTTTGGTTTGTTTCTTTGTTTTTTTTTTTTTGGTTATTGTTGTCCTGTTTGACCGATTTACAGACCATATCTAAAGCATTAGGAAGTTGTTTCTGTGAAAGTAACATCTTTTTATCGTGTACAGATTCCTCCTATTACTTATTATTTTGAATTAACCTATTTGCGATGGATGTAAGCAGGCTCAAATAACAGATACAGAGTGGTTTCCCCTTGACTTAAGAGAAGTTTTATAATTTTTCAGGTTATGAGTTATTTGGGGGTTTTGCTGTGGTTACTGTTGCCTTTCCTTGAGAAGTCTGGGAACTCTTTTTAGCCTTTTTAAGATTATTTATTTATTTATATGTCAGAGAGAGAGAGCTCACAAGCAGGGGGAGCAGAAGCAGAGGGAGAAGCAGCGTGCCCGCTGAACAAGGAGCCTGACAAGGGACTCGATCTCAGGACCCTGGGATCATGACCCGAACAGAAGGCAGACACTTAACCAACTGAGTTGCCACCCAGGCATCCCATGGGGACTCTTTTTTTTTAAAGATTTTATTTATTTATTTGAGAGAGAGAATGAGAGACAGCTTGAGAGGAGGAGGGTCAGAGGGAGAAGCAGACTCCCCGCCGAGCAGGGAGCCCGATGCGGGACTCGATCCCGGGACCCCAGGATCATGACCTGAGCCGAAGGCAGTCGCCCAACCAACTGAGCCACCCAGGCGCCCCTGTACCATTTTTTTTTAAAGATTTTATTTATTTATTTGAGACAGAGAGAATGAGAGACAGAGAGCATGAGAGGGAGGAAGGTCAGAGGGAGAAGCAGACTCCCTGCCGAGCAGGGAGCCCGATGCGGGACTCGATCCCGGGACCCCAGGATCATGACCTGAGCCGAAGGCAGTCGCTTAACCAACTGAGCCACCCAGGCGCCCCCCATGGGGACTCTTTTTAACGTAGGGTTTGCGTGTCAGACCTTTCCCTTCCAAACGGAACTGAGGACAGTGCCAGTGTTTCCATGTTCTTCAGAGGTCACTGTGAAGACAGAGCGGAATAATTTATAAAAATCACCTTCAGCGATACCTGTATTCTAGCAGGGCGTCTTGCATATTTGTTCCTTTTTTACTCCCCTTTATTATGCAGTTTGTCTTTCGCAGTGGGGTCCTTTATAAGGCAAGTGCATAAACGAGAAAGCCTATCTTGCACAGCTATTACCATATATAATAACTCCACACGTGTGGAATTATCTGTAGCTTACAGAGCCCCCTTCTTGCTCTCAGACGTATTTCATTCAATGTAATCCTCACAGCGTCCCTGAGAAAAGAACAGAGCAGGTGCTATTGACTTCTTTTAGCTAAGATGATAAGGCAGGGGTCCACAGAGGATGAGGTTATTGAAGATAGGATCGCAGATGTCCCTGAAAATAACTCGGTATAATTCTTCCATGATCATCACGAGGCCGAGTGTGTATGTCACCATATTCCTCGCTAGCTGCAAATGTTTCTTAGAAATATTCACAGTCACCAAGACTATAAAAACCACCAGAACCGGACTCTAGCCTGCTACTGTTTGATGCTCTTACCTCGTGCTGCCCGGATGGTCCAGATTTCACACTTTGATTCGAGGATGCCCGAGCACGGCTGTCTTTCCCCATCCTGCGTATCCTGTCTGCAGAAACCCGGGAGTTTTCTTAATCCTCTCCTACACTCCGGAGATCCAGATTCCTTTTTTTGTGCGGATCGCTACCTTTCCACCTTCGCTCTG